CTCTCTGGGGCACCAGACAAAGGGACAACTTATAGGGTCACTATGAGTCAGAACCGACTCAACGGCCCTACCAACAACGACATACAGAAAGCCTTGCTCCTGAGAGTCCCCTAAGAGCTGAGCACCAGCAGCTTCAGAAAGAACCACTGCATGGCGCAGCACTGTGTTTCTTCGTCCAGGAAGAAGTCGGGGCAAGCCCCTGTGCCTTATCGCATATAGAAGTGAGATGGTTCCCAGAGGGAAAAATGAAGACAGGCTTTTTCTGAAAGAATGTCTGATTTGGCTGGCTGATTTGTCAATGAGGACTGTTAGGTTATATGGCAGATGTTAAAACATATCTTTTGCAAATATCTAAACCTTCGATAAAAAAACTCTAGATGCCAACTTTAAAATGTATGAAGGGATATTTTTAAAAAATTATTTTAGGAGATCGAGCAAATGTGAAGACCACTGTCTAAGAAATATAAACTACTTGTCAGAATGTAAGCATAATGATATATGAGAATTTTTAAGTTGATCGTTTCTCCATGCAGAGAGTGTACCTTGAGAAAGGCACCCTTGTATGTGGCCAATCTTGTGTAATGCTTAGTGTTCTTTGTTGGAGACGCAATGTGGTGTAGGGAAACAGCACAGACTTTGGCCCTTCCTGACCTTTCTGTGCCTCAGTTTTCACTGATGTAAAATGGGGACAATAATCCCAAACCCTGTAAGCTTACCACGAGAATTAGAATTGAGAGATGTACAGACTGTGCTTGGCAATACATCATTGGCACTAAACAAAGAATGGCAGCTATTATATATCTCCTGTATTTTAGTATGGAGCCTTGGTGGCGCAGTGGTTAAGCGTTCAGCTGCTAACCAAAAGCAGCTGGTTAGCAGTTCAAATCCACGAGCTACTCCTTGGAAACCCTATGGAGCAGTTTACTCTGTCCTATAGGGTCGCTATGAGTCGGAATCGACTCGACAACAACGGGTTTGGGTTTTTTTTTGTTTTGTTTTATATTTTATTCTTTGGGCTGTTTTAGGAAAATCACAAACTGGACCTAAAATTATTTACTGCTCTTTTTAACCGAAAATTTAGCTATCACTCCCTCATTTAGATGTGTATTTTGAGTCATGTTTTTCCAGTAATGCGGACAGATTTCAGTTAGTTCAGCCATACACTGCCTTCTATTAAAAAAAAAAAAGACATCCAGGTGGGTCAGAAATACAGTCTATGTTTACAGATCAGGGTATAATTAATAATAAACAACAATTGGCTGAGTTAATATTCTGCCAGAATCCCATTTCTAGAAAACATCTGACGTGAATAATAAAACCTTGCTACCCATAGTCAGTCCATGGACCAGCAGACCCAGCATTACCTGGGAACTTGTTATAATGCAAAATTTAAGCCCCACATCAGATCTACTGAATTAGAATCTGCATTTTAACAAGATCCCTGGGTGATTTGAATGCCCACTAAAATTTGAGAAGCACTGGTAAAGAACAGGTCACTAACAGGAATGATACACCAGTTCATACAAACACACACATACCGACACATACATAGATCAATGGTTCTCATCAGGGGTGATTCTGTCCCCAGAAGACATACGTCAGTGTCTGGGGACATTTTTGATTGTCACAATTGGGCGATGGGGGTTATTACTGGCATCTAAGGGGTAGGGGACAAGGATGCGGCTGAACATCCTACAATGCACAGATGGTCCCCCACAACAAAGAATTATCTGGCCCAAAATGTCAATAGTGCTGAGGCTGAGAAATCCTGGCATAGGTTATACAACATTCCTGCAGAAAGGTGTTATTAATTGAAACTATGCATGAAAAAAAAGCAGTAATTTTACTACGCAGCTCTGAGGGGATGAATTTCAGATCTGGAGAGTTCCTGCATCTTAAAAATCTATGTTGCTTTCAAGATTATAAGTGCCCTGGTTAAAAGGCTTGAAAATCACTTCCCTGCTTTTGCTAGCAAACCCAGTCAATGATGGTCTGTCTGTCTTATTAGCATATAAAGTCAGTCAGCATCAATGCTAAAATCTGTTAATATCCAAAGAAAACTAACAGAGACAGAAAAGTAAGTCAAAGCTCAATCCTACTGAAAGAAGAAAGCAGGCTTAGGGGCCTCAACTCCATACCTGCCTCAGCCAAAGACACTAAGCCTATATTTTCATTGTACACATCCACATTCCCTTGGATGCAATCCAAAAATCCAAAAACTCTGGAAACAAAGTGTGTCAATCAAACCTCTCCTTATATGAACTCATTTGGCAGCAAAACTTGAATAGATATGAGGTTATTTATAATCTTAATTATCTCACTTAGTGTAACTTTTCACGTGGTTCACTGTAGAAGTATTCGGGGGTTTGCTTAGGAGGTGAAACCCGTTTTCGCTGTGAACGCTACTTACTGCGTTTCTAAAATTTTACAAACCTTGGAATTCTGAAAACACTTGCCTTGAAGAGTTTTAGAAAAGAGATTATGGACCTCAAATGATTAAAATACAGTTAACACTCAGCAGATATTTTCTGAAAGCATTCATACAGATAGGGAGGTGGATAGATAAAGTTATGACATTTTCATAAGAAGAAGGAAGTTTATTTTCTTTGAGAGAAAAACTGCACCTAGTTAATATACAATTTTTGCATATAAACTCCTATTTCCCTCCCTGAAAGGCTTTACCTGACTAGGCTATTGACTGTGCTGTGGTGCGCTCATAGGAGTGGCCCAGGGAAATGACAGGTTATTGGGAAACAAGTAGTAAAGAAATGCTGAGAGCAAATGTACTCAAATCATCAGCTTTAGTTCACTACCTTGTAAGATGGGGCTTTAGAGCAGATGAGGATATCAGCCAATTTCCAGAAACCATGAAAAGATGCATCTCACTTGCACTGAGACTGCCGAAAGCATCGAATGCAATAGAATTAAAACTTTTCAAAATCTTTTTGCCCATAGTGCATTGCCAAGATTCACTAATTGCCATTCCACTTTAATGCTCTTTTCATTATACTGCAAAACAATCTTCCCTTCCTTGCATCCTGAGAAAGCACACCCTCTTCTCAGGAAGATGAAACAACACATGATATAATTTAGTAAGTTGAAAAGGAATCTTGAAAAGATTTTGTGAAAGTGTTCTCAAATACCTTTATAAGAATTGTGTAGAGGGATGAACGCATTTCCCTGCAGTTATGCTCAATGCATTGTCAAAACCATTCAATCTGATTCTAATGCTAAGGTGGGAGGAAGAAGCACTTCACCGAAGTTTTTGTAACTATTTCACCAGCAAAGCAGTTTGTCCCTGGACTCTACCACGTGGTTGTGAAGTCACACGACCCTTCAGGAAGGAGCTGCCATGTGTCTCTTCTCAGGCTCCCAGGTGTCTCAAATAGGGAGTGGTTCACAGCCAGAGCCGTGGGAAGCCTCTCGCCAGGATCATGGATGAGATCACCACCCCACCCCTAGCATCCTGCCCTGCCGCTTCTGATTTTCTCAGGCCTGCAGCCCTTAGGCCAGCCTCCTGTCATGTTCTCAAAACAGGAAAAACTGAAAGTGGGTCCTCTCCACAAAAAAGCTTGGGAATTCTTGCATTATTGAATTATTTTAAACATGTTCCTCTTGTGTAGTGTAATCATGTAAGAGAACAGATTCGGATTTCAGAAATAAGGACTCTCTCTTTCTAAGAAGACAGCCCCAAATTAGTTTCTTTTTAAAATGTTCTCTCAAAACCTTAAATCAACAACTTTCAAAAAGAAAATTCTACGGTAAGGATTAAAGACATGTATTGGATAATTAACTCGTTCCTGATAGAAAAGAAATAATAAAGTATTATGAACTCTTTATGCTTACCAGAAAACAAATATTTATAACTTCATCCATGACAAGGCTTTTAGTTCAATTCTTCAGGCATTCTATTCTATTTTAGCTTCTGTGTAACAATACTGCAATGCTGTAATTCCATCCTCTATAATCAGTCCACTCCCAGTGTAATTAAGAGGGCCACAAATTTAAAACTGCACCCTCACTACTGAGGGAAAAAAGTATGTGGAAGGGAGAGTTTATACTGCATGTAAAATGCCCTTTTACATTTTAAAGTGTAAAAGAAAAAGATGGCATATTATTTATAGTCATATTTAAGAAGGAATCATTATATTCCTGATAATAGACCCTCTGACCCACGTCAGTAAGCTCTTTCCTACCAAATCCTGTGCTCTTCCCATGTTATGAAAACTCCAAACCCCTCAGATGGCCTCTCAGTTCCCCTCATTTAACTGCCATTTGCTGTGTTCCTAGGACAATGTCATGCTAGTGCCAACCAAGTTGCAGTTGGCAGAGAAGTCTAACAGTGAAGTGTATACCAGTAACTTCCAAAAAATGTGAATAAACTTTTATCGTAACTAAGAATCAGGAAGTTGAATATCAAACATTAATGAACCACATATTATAATAGTTCATGCAAGCTATTTGATTAAACATAGTAACAACCACATGAATAAAAAAAAGAATAACACTTATCAAATGCTTACTTTGTGCCAGGACTGTGAGCAGGATCTTAGGCAAATTCTTGTTTATTTTTCATAAAAAGTCTCCAAGGTGAATACAGTTATTGTCCCCATTTTTCATATGAGGAAAGTTGAGGCTCAAGAGAGATTATATAACTGCCCATATACGATAGCTGGTAAGAGTACGGTCAGGCCCAACTGAATCTTAAGCTTGTGCCTCTTTGCACAGCCTTCAGGCTGGGCTGCCTACTGATTACATGTTATACAAGCAATTTAAACCAAATATTCTTGCCCTACTAAGGCTCCTGGTGAACTGCAACAGTTACCATTCAACAACTGTAAAAGCAAAAATGCAAGATATCTGTTTACCAAGATTTTCCTCCCTCATCAAATTCAGAAACTCCTTTCCATAATCTTTCTAAATTACATAAATGTTTAATCACAGTTGGTAAGTTACTAAAGTACCAATCACAAAACTGAATGCACTCTTGTATTTTTCAGATTAAAGAAGCTGATTGACCAAGAAACCGAGTCGCAGGAAAAGAAGGAGCAGGAAAAGGAGAAGAGGGTAACCGCCCTGAAGGAGGAGCTGACCAAGCTGAAGTCTTTTGCTTTGATGGTGGTGGACGAACAACAAAGGCTGACAGCACAGCTCGCCCTTCAAAGACAGAAAATCCAAGACCTGACCACAAGTGCGAAGCAAACACATGCTAAACTAGCCCTTGCTGAAGCCAGAGCTCAGGAAGAAGAGCAGAAGGCAGCCAGACTAGAGGAAGAACTGCAAACGCAGACCACAGAGTTTCACCAGAACCAAGAAGCAATTATGGCGAAGCTCACCAATGAGGATGGCCAGAATCGTCAGCTCAGACAAAAGCTGGCAGCACTCAGTCGGCAAATCGATGAGTTAGAAGAGACAAACAGGTCTTTACGAAAAGCAGAAGAAGAGCTGCAAGATATTAAAGAAAAAATCAACAAGGGAGAATATGGAAACTCTGGTATCATGGCTGAAGTGGAGGAGCTCAGGAAACGTGTGCTAGAAATGGAAGGGAAGGATGAAGAACTCATAAAAATGGAAGAGCAGTGCAGAGATCTCAATAAGAGGCTTGAAAAGGAAACATCCCAGAGTAAAGACTTTAAACTAGAAGTTGAAAAACTCAGTAAGAGGATTATGGCTCTGGAAAAATTAGAAGATGCTTTCAACAAAAGCAAAGAAGAATGTTACTCTCTGAAATGCAATTTAGAAAAAGAAAGGGCGACCACAAAGCAGTTGTCTCAAGAACTAGAGAGTTTAAAAGTGAGGATCAAAGAGCTAGAAGCCATTGAAAGTCGGCTGGAGAAGACAGAATTCACCCTAAAAGAGGATTTAACTAAATTGAAAACATTAACTGTGATGCTTGTAGATGAACGGAAAACAATGAGTGAGAAATTAAAGCAAACTGAAGATAAATTACAAGCTGCTGCTTCTCAGCTTCAAGTGGAGCAAAATAAAGTGACAATGGTTACTGAGAAGTTAATTGAGGAAACTAAAAGGGCACTCAGGTCCAAAACTGATGTGGAAGAAAAGATGTACAGTGTAACCAAGGAGAGAGATGATCTAAAAAACAAGCTGAAAGCAGAAGAAGAGAAAGGAAATGATCTCCTGTCAAAAGTTAGCATGTTGAAAGATAGGCTTCAATCACTGGAAGCAATTGAGAAAGATTCCTTAAAAAACAAATTGAAACAAGATTCTGCTAAGTCCACAACAACATTACACCAAGAAAACAATAAGATTAAAGAGCTCTCTCAAGAAGTAGAAAGACTGAAACTGAAGCTGAAGGACATGAAAGCCATTGAGGATGACCTCATGAAAACAGAAGATGAATATGAGACTCTAGAACGAAAGTATGCTAGTGAGCAAGACAAAGCTCAACTTTTATCTGAAGAGCTGGAACATGTTAAAATGGAACTTGCCAAGTACAAATTAGCAGAAAAGACAGAGTCTAGCCATGAACAATGGCTTTTTAAAAGGCTTCAAGAAGAAGAAACTAAGTCAGGACACCTCTCAAGAGAAGTGGACGCATTAAAAGAGAAAATTCATGAATACATGGCAACTGAGGACCTAATATGTCACCTCCAGGGAGATTACTCAATTCTGCAAAAGAAACTTAATCAACAAGAAAGCAGGAACAAAGATTTAGGAAGAGAAATTGAAAACCTCACTAAAGAGTTAGAGAGGTACCGGCATTTCAGTAAGGGCCTCCGGCCTAGTCTCAACAGAAGAAGAATCTCTGACCCTCAAGTGTTTTCTAAAGAAGTCCAGACAGAAGCAGTAGACAATGAACCACCTGATTACAAGAGTCTCATTCCTCTGGAACGAGCAGTCATCAATGGTCAGTTATATGAGGAGAGTGAGGACCAGGATGAAGATCCTAATGACGAGGAGCCAGTGCTGTCCTTCAAATGCAACTCATCAACTCCTTGTCCTGTTAACAGGAAGCTATGGATTCCTTGGATGAAATCCAAGGAGGGCTATCCTCAGAATGGAAAAATACAAACTAAACCCAATGGCAGCTTTGTGCAACCTGGAGATCTGGTACTAAGCCACACACCTGGGCAGCCGCTTCATATAAAGGTTACTCCAGACCATGTCCAAAACACAGCCACTCTTGAAATCACAAGTCCGACCACAGAAAGTCCTCACTCCTACACAAGCACAGCAGTAATACCGAACTGTGGCACCCCAAAGCAAAGGATAACCATCCTCCAAAATGCCTCCATAACGCCAGTGAAATCCAAAATCTCTACCGAAGGCCTCACAAATTTAGAGCAAGGCATGTCCCCAATTACCATGGCAACCTTTGCCAGAGCTCAGACCCCAGAGTCTTGTGGTTCTATAACTCCAGAAAGGACAATGTCACCTATTCAGGTTTTGGCTGTGACTGGTTCAGCTAGCTCTCCTGAGCAGGGACGCTCCCCAGAGCCCATAGAAATCAGTGCCAAGCACGCGATTTTCAGAGTCTCTCCAGACCGGCAGTCATCATGGCAGTTTCAACGTTCAAATAGTAATAGTTCAAGTGTGATAACTACTGAGGATAATAAAATCCACATTCACTTAGGAAATCCTTACATGCAAGCTGTGGCCAGCCCTGTGAGACCTGCCAGCCCTTCAACACCACCACAGGATAACCGAACTCAGAGCTTAACTAACGGGGCACTAAACAAAACGACCAATAAAGTCACCAGCAGTATTACTATTACACCAACAGCCACACCTCTTCCTCGACAATCACAAATTACAGTAAGTAATATATATAACTGACTACCCTCACCCTCATCCAGTCCATACTGATATTCTTGCAAGGAACTCAATCCTTTTATAATCATCCCTTCAAATCCCTGAAAAGCCTGACTGAACTTGTACTTTGGGAAGGTTTGTGCATGAACTATACAAGAGTATCTGAAACTAACTAAGTGTTGCCTGCATAGTCATATCAAGTGTGCATTTACTGTTTATCTTTTCATTTACATACCTGTATGGAAAATATTTAGTCTGCACTTGTATAAATACATCTGTATGTATTTCATTTCCCATAACTCACATTAATTTGATTGCAACTTGTCTTGGTGAAATACTTTAACATTATAAAACAGTAAATAATTTGTTATTTTTACCATAGCTTGCTGGATTTTCTTTTGGTCATTTAGTTTTGTATTTTTGCATGTACAATAGAATTTCATTTCCTGTTCATAATGTCTATTAATCCTTCCTTCAAACAAACAAACAAACAAAAAAAAAACTGGCCTACTTCCCATAAACAGTCAACTTTTGACCACATGCTAGAGGAGGAGGAAGTGGTTCTAATAAATCAAAATTTATTTTTCTGATTTCAATGTGAAGTATATGGTATCTCAAGAGCAAACTTAACTTGATGCTTGGGATGTATCTCAATATCCATGGTGTCCAGCTCAGAGCTTGGTACATGATAGGTACTTAGTAAATATCTACTGATAATTACTGAATAAAATAACATTAAATACTTTGCTTCTTATAAGAACATATTAGCTGATGGTGAAAGTAAAAAGCTTGAAAATATGACAGGCAGCCTGAGAAAGTACATCTGGCAATACAAGTTACTTGACAATCAAGAGTTGACTGTATTTCTACCACAGACCAAGCCCCTCATAAAACATTTATGTCTACATTCAAACCTGGTATCAGCCACTATGACATAAAAAGCTTTTAAACACTCAAATATGTTTCAAAGCAAAAATGTCGTTCCTTTTCCGTCTTCCTGTTTGGTTCCCAAAGTAGTTTGGATTACTTAATGTAGGTGATATCTACCCTGCTAGTAAGTGCCCTGCGTTCAGAAGATTTCAACTTAATGGTAGTTTTTTGTTTTTTTTTTAGCTTTCAACAAGCAAATAAAAGCCAAAGATAGTTATGAACACAAGTAATAGACAAGCATATTGACAAGCATATTTTTAAAAAATTATACAGTATGTTTGTTAGTTGAAGGAAATTGTATACTGTAAATTTCTTCAATTATTGTTGTGTTATTATATATGTACTATAAATTTATTAGGTACACAGCACATAGCACCAGCCTTAGCATCGTAGAAATTGCTATACCTGGCTCCTGGGACCCCCTGGGCATAACACACACTTATGTAAGAGAACACCAGCTCTCAGGGGAACATTTTAAATTACAAATCTGGTTCCTGAGTCATATTCCAAAAAAGATGATTTCAGACAAAGTAGCTCATCACCATCTTCCCTTTTCCAACCCCTTAACTGTTAATTTAGTGTGGTCAATTTTATTGCCGATTATTGATTTTAAACACAACTGATTTAGACACTCAGGCAAACTTGTGAAGACCTTTAAAAGTAAAAGAAATCTCTCACAATTACACTGTTTTCCCCTGCAAAATCAATTTCATGATGGCAAAGCGAAGATTTGTTGACAGAAACACTTCCATGGTGATGAACTGCAACACCAGCCCTGTGGGCTTGCATCATCATTAAATAAATTTGGATGAAAGCTGAAGTTGGTGATGGATGAGAAAGCTTCTGTTTAAACATATTTATCTTGGGAATTGGCAGTGACCCAACTGTATTACAAAATACACGATGGTCTAAGTGTTTTTCAAAACTATTTTTATTTTTAAGTCACCTTGGTCTAGAATTTTAGAAGGAACTACACACTTCATCTTATGTCTTTCAGAGTAGACCTTAATAATGCTGTTGCATAAAATCTTTCTCCAGTTAATAATCAAGAGAAGGTACATGTAAAGTTTTGGAGGGCAGTGATCAACCGATCATAAAATTATGAGCAACAGAAACTAGAGAACGAAGTCTTCCTGGTGCTTCCCAACCTTTGTCACATAATGGCACAAACAGAAAACATTTGCACAGCATTGGGGAAAGGGGATAAAGTGGCAGAGATGACTGGCTGACGGACTCCCATCACCGCTAACCTCTCCTGGCTGCCCCAAGGGCTGGGGGAACTGCTTTCTTGGCACACCTGTAACTAATAGAGGTTGGGAAGCTCTGGGCTATTCATCAACCCACTCATTTTGTAAGGATTCAATTTCCTACTCTTCTGTGAGCCAGAGCATTTCTCTACAATAAGGTTAGCACCACAAGTCCTGTGCTCCATGATTATAATGTACAAAGTCTTGTTTCATCATCTGCCTCAGATCTTAACTATAAATAAGCTTCCCAAGTGGTTAATCATTACTGGAAATTTACTGAACCTTCAAGGATTCCTCTCTTTTGAAGGCTCCTCCACTGGGAGGATTCCTTCAGTATAACAATTCATATCATCATCAAAATAAACTTTAGGAGCAAGGTCAGATTAATAACTTGTATGTAGGTTATTACGAGTGCCACTAATTAAAGTTCAGGGTAAAGACAGCATCATTTCTGAAAAACATCTTTCCTTTTCAATAAAATGACATATAACATGATACACTCCAGATTTCTGCCCTTCAATCTTAAAAATAACTTCTTACATACTTTTTTCGGCATGTGTGTGACTGTGCGTTTGGGAGGTTACAGAATTTCCTCTACATTCACATATAATCACAGAAGAGCCTTGAAAAAACCAGGAAGGAGAGAGGGCATGACACTGGGAAATCTCCATATGAGATAGAGGCAGCAGCCCGTACTGGTGGAGGCTTTCATTCTTCGGAGCAGAGGAAAGAAGGCCCATGAGAGGCCCATAGAAGACAGATCGTTTTTATACACATCAATGATATATTCCTCTCATTGGTCAAAGTTTCAGCTTCAGAACCAAGTTTCATTCTACTCACTGTTCCACTCTAACTTGTAGAGTTGCAGCATCCTATCACAGATATGAATGATTTTACCACATTCTTCCTTCCATCTAGAAGCAATGGCCAACCCTTCCCCAAGAGAAGGCTACTGCTCCCTAGGGGCACTGGCAAAAATGAAATCCTCCTCCTCACTGGAAGAGCTATATGCATTACTATAGTTGTATCTTTGCATATAAAGGAAGGTCTCTGTACTTGTTCAGGATGATGACAGGATTACATAACTACTCAGAACATCTCTACAACTGTATTACACAATGGAAAGATACTGTATCCTTTGTGGGGTCTTCATGGCACCAGAAAGACAAAATTAGGGGCACTGTAAGATGGTCATAAAATGGATAGATTAAACTGTTTAGACATTTGTAGCCCAAGGATTCTATGGTCTTTATTGAATGAATTATGACTCCAAATATGTTGTTAGGAGCTTCTTTATTCTGAATCTTTACAAACTGAATCTCCTTTGAAACTTGTTAGACAAATGCAGGGAAAAAAAAACAAACAAAAAAACAAACTTATTGCCGTTGAGTCAATCCCAACTCACAGCAACCCTACAGGACAGAGTAGAACTGCCCCCATAAGGTTTCCAAGGAGCCGCTGATGGATTCAAACTGCTAACCTTTTGGTTAGCAGCCATAGTGCGCCAAGAGCTTTAAATTAACCAACACTCCAGTTTCCCTGTACCTTAGTTTCTGTAACTAATTTTTTTTTCCCTTCAAAATAATTATTTTGCTTTGCAATTTCAAGCGAAAAGATAATCAGGCAAAAATGCGTGCCCAGAACTTTAAGATCAGTGTTTCTTAATGTAGTTTTATGAGAATCCCTTGACATTATTAACATGAAGCCCCGTCCAGAGCTATCAAATCAGAAGCTCAGGGGTATAGGACCCCCGGAATCTGCATTTAAACAAGCTTCCCTGCTTAGTATGCACCCAAAAGTTGGAATTCCACTGTTTTAGAAGTTCCTGTATTGATAAACATAGTCCCATGCCATCAAAATGAATTACACCTGTCCCAGGAATTGTGACTATTCTGCCCTCTAGTGGCTGGCATGACAAACAGAAGGCTCATTCCCCAAGTTTTCTTTCTGTTCAAAAGGGAAAACTCAATAGAAAGTACCATTTTACTGTGTGGGAAGGTTCCCAGTTCTATAATGTAGCAAAGCATAGGTGCCGGGACCCTTAGCTGAGCTGTAGCAGGCTCTCTGTCACCTACAAGCTCTTCTCCTCTCCCAGATTTCCAGGCCCTCAATTTAACCCTACAGCATTTCTTGGGAATGGTCCAGAATATATATTAAAGAGAGCAGCTGGATGAACCAAAACAAAGAGCTCCATTCACCTAAGGCCATAGTGAAGCAAATGAAAGAAACAGTGAGGAAGACAAGTGATTTACTAAAGTCCCCAAACCTTAAACCCTCTTTGAATTCATTTTCATTTAAACTCCAAACACTTTCTTCAAGCTAAATTAAGAAGCTAAACCTTTTGTGCAAATACATCAGAACAGGCATTCCCCCAAAGGCAACGCTATAGGGTAAAGAATCCTGAGGGAGGGAGTTCAGCAAGTTAACTGGTCAGCACCTCTAAGTACTTTATAATTTGATATCAAATTAACGCCCTTCACATGGCAGTACTTACAAATCTGTCAGCATTCCATCAGGACACCATGTTTTATATTCACAACGCTGCCATAAAAATGTACTCCAGGCTAACCTTTGGCCTTGCATTCAGTTATACCAGGAATAATCTCTTGTGGTCTCATTTTAAAATTTCACTATCAAAGTTATTGGTCAAGATAAAATTTATCTGATTGTTTGAGGCAATTTTTTTAAAGATTTAAACTAGTTCTCTTATTTTAGTGAGTTTTTCGCCCATAGCCAAACGATAGCCCTGTATGATGTAATTTTTGTAAGGTTACCTGAGATCAACCATCAACTGCCTACAAGTAGATTCCGACTCATGGTGACTCCATGTGCATCAGAGTAGAAATGTGCTCTAAAGGGTATTCTTTCTTTTCTTTTCTTAAATAATTTATTTTTGTTGTTGTTGAAAATACACACAGCAGAACATACACCAATTCAACCAATTCTACATGTATAATTCAGTGACACTTCGGGTTGTGCAACCATTCTCACCTTCCTTTTCCAAGTTTTCTTCCCCTATTAACATAAACTCACTGCCCTCTAAGTTTCCTATCTAATCTTTCAAGTTGCTGTTATCAATTTGATGCCATATAGATAGATCTTAAAAGAACACAATGCTCAAAGCAGATGTTTTTACTAGTTAAGCTAAACTACTGTTTGGTTTTAAGAAGATTTTAGGCGATATTTTTGGTTAAAGTTTTAAGGTTTAAAGATTATCTCAGGGCAACAGTTTCAGGGGTTTATCTAGCCTCCATGGCTCCAGAAAGACTGAATTCCATGAGAATTTTAAACTCTGTTGTGCATTTTCACCCTTTTGATCAGGATTCTTCTATAGAATCTTTGATCATAATGTTCAGTAATGGTAGCTGGGCACCATCCAGTTCTTCTGGTCTCATGGCAAAGGAGGCAGTTGTTCATGGAGGCAATCAGCCACACATTCCACTTCCTCCTACTATTCCTGACTCACCTTCTTCCCTGTTGCTCCAGGTGAATGGAGATCAATTACTGTACCTTGGATGGCCACTTGCAAGCTTTTAAGACCAAGGCACTATGCAATAAACTAGGAGGTAGAACAGAGGCACTAAATACATTATTAGGCCAATTAACTGGAATGTCCCATGAAACCATGACCCTAAACCTCCAAACAAAAGAACCAAATCCCATGAAGTGTTTGGTTGTACATAAGTAGCCTCAGCAGCTATTCTTTTTTTTCTGTCACTGTTGTAAATATAGCTATTGAACAGCTTTTACCCATTCAACTTTTTACAGGTGTATGACTTAATGACAGAAATCCACAGAGTTTTCAATGGCTGACTTTTCAAAAGTAGATCACCAGGCCTTTCTTCCGAGGCACTTCTGGGTGGACATAAACCTCCAACCTTTCAGTTAGCAGCTGAGTGCAGTAACAACCATTTGTCTAACCCAGGGACTCCTATGTGAGACCTCCCTCACCCCCTTTTTTTCTGCTTCAGAATTTTGTCTTGTTTTTTAAAGGCTAGTCATGTTGGGATAACTAATGATATATAAATATAGACTCCACAGATTGACAAAGCCTGTCTTACTCTCTTTGCCATTCCTGGGGCCCCCGGAAGGGTGAAGGTGGGTTTACTAGTTGACATGTCCCTCATGTGTCTCAGTGACATGCACAGTGTCTTCTCTTCATAGCATCACATGGACTCAACTGATCAATCCACTGATCATGACATAGTGAATCACCTATCTCCTATCCAACAATGAGGCAGGTATTACAGAAACAAAAAGATTCACTGCCCTTGCAGACCTTATTAATCGGGCAAGGAAATGAGACAAGAAACAAGGGTACCAGATGACATTTTATTAAGTGACAAACTTTAAATGTCTACCAATAAGCTGGAGGTTAAAGAGGACTATAGAAGACTAGCAAGGCTTCACAGAGCAACTGAAGCTTGACACTGGCCAGATGAAAGATCTGGAAAAGTGGAGTGACTGGGGGGGAAGGAGCACTTGAGGCAGGCAGACAGAAGACCAGGTTCTGGGCCACGCCTTTTCTAGTCAGCTGTGAGTCCCTGCACAAGGCATTTAAACTCTGTGAAATAAGAGAATTGGACTTGGTGATCTCTAAGATCACATCTAGTTCTAACTTGTAATGATTTTTTAATTCTAAGTCTTGCCACCCTCCTTTAATCATTTAAAATCCCTTTGGAGCCCTGGTGGGCACTGGTTAAAGTGCCTGGCTGCTAAGCAAAAGGTCAGCGGTTCAAACCCACCAGCTGCTCCACAGGAGAAAGATGTGGCTGTCTGCTTCCATAAAGATTTACAGCCTTGGAAACCCTATAGGGCAGTTCTACTCTGTCTTATAGGGTTGCTATGAGTTGGAATTGACTTGACAGCAGTGGATTTGGTTAGAGATTTTGGAGAAATAAGGCTGGGATATACATAGACAAACGAATTACTGCATAAGTTTCTTTTCCTTCAGAATCTTAAAAGACATTACATTTCTCCTTCCTCATATTCCCACTTGTCATAACTACCAGATAGTCTTGGAAGAGTTCTCTCCTTCTCTAAGAATCTGTGAATTAACTCCTTTTGACCTATATTGTATCAGCTCTTTTTCCATTAGAGCAAGGTCCCTCAGCCTCAACATTATGACACTTTGGGTTGGATGACTCTTTGTGATAGGGGCTGTTCTGTGCATTATAGGATATTTAAGAGCATCCCTGGCCTCTACCAACTAGATGCCAAGTAGCATCCTTCCAACTGTGACAAACAATAATGTGCCCTGACATTGCCAAATACTACCTGGGGGGCAAAATCGCCATTGGACGAGAACCACTGCATCAGAGAGACGTGGACCAACTGACTCTATAAGCTAGTTCCTCTTTCACGTAACTTCTCTGGGAAAAATCAAGACAGCTTACTTGAAAACTCTTATGTCTGGTGTGCAGAGAAGAATATTGACTCTGACTAAAAATAAGCCTTAAAGCAATTTTAAAAATCTGCCCTAGAAGAGTTTTCCACTCACTTGACAGGCTGGCCCAAAGAATGTGCATATTCGAACATCTGTGGTTGTATTAATACCTTGTTTATAAGATGGTACCTTTGTTGGAGACAAATATTATAAACTAGACTTTCAGATGAGCTTTCCATTTCTCACATGCCTTTGAGAGATATAAAGAGAAGTCTAAACAACCAACCACCTTTGCCTTAATAAGGAAAAAAATAGGTTTCAGCAGGATTCGAAAGAACTTAAGAGATAAGTCCCTCTACTGTTTAGGCCTTTCTAAAGAGTTCTGCGGAATTTCAATTCCCTCTGTGTTACTTACAGCCACCAGAGGCATGAATGTTTTCTAGGAGAATACATGCTTACTTCATTCCTGAACAAATCACTTACAAGAATGAACTGACAAGTATTTATTTGCCAGAATCCAATACCGCTCGCTGCTGTCTAGACAACTGCGTAGATGTAAGATTTAGAATCTAAGGCAGGAGTTGAGGACTACCTTTAAAAGGTAGTTAGGAACACAGTGCACAGAAGGAATTGTATAGACAGTACTACAGGAGTTTGGAGGAGGAGCAGGTTACTCTGGTGTGGAGAGAAGGGATAAAGTTTCAGAAATAGATGAGATCTGATCAGGGGCTGGGGGATGAGGATGAACTGGGATAGAGAGAGACAGGGAGGGTGCCCACAAGAGCAGAGGTGTGGGGACAGGAAGGACAGCAGAAAACCAACACTTGAGAAACAATGAGCAGCACAGCATGGCTTAAGCTGAGAGGGCCAGGCTAGGGTAAGGCTTAGAAGGGTCAGGTCCAGCTGGACTGTGAAGAGCTTTAAATACTGAGCTAGAGAGAGCTGTGTCCTCACAGGAAGCTTTTGGGCAGTTAGGGAATATAACAGAGGGAATAAAGCTAACCCTTTATGTAATATTATTTCACTTAATCTTTACAACAACACTGTAAAGTAGATGTTATCACAGTTTCAGAGTTGAAAAAAAGTACAACTCTGACAAGGGAAGTTGCTCCAGGTCACTCCATTAGTATGGGATGAAACTGAGATGTGAAGACAGGTCTTTCTCCATTGTGTCATTCTCTTTCCATGACAACATATTGAGAAGCCACCTCAGTAAGAGGGAAGCATAATAAATTGCACTCAATCCTCTCCACTACTCATGCGGACAGACAGGTTGCCGAAAATTACCTCCCTACGCTCTACCTCACAAATCTGCCACTTCAGCCAGAACACTCAGAATGCCTCCTCAACATCCTCAGGGCCTTCCCCTTCTTCCTCCCCACTTCTCTACGTGGGTAGAATTCCCACTTCTCATCAAGTGAAATCCAACCCACACTGAAAGCTCTGGTTCAAGTTTCACCTCTTTTAAAAACCTTCCGTATCACCACAGCTGAGCGAACTGCATCTCCTTCCAAGTCCTTCCATTTCCCTGAAACTGTTCAGGTACCAAGAGATAACGCATGTGAGAAGCCAAGTCCCATACAAACGGGCAGACATGGGGAAGGCTGACCCAGTGATGGTGTTCAGGGTAGCAGATGGAAGAAAGCAGAACCAAGAAGCACAAGTCCTCATTAGACAGCTCTGTGCTCAGAGAACAATGGGTGGCAGACAGAACCCACCCCATCCCAGAGCAGGGTTCTATGAGCAAACGCCAAGCATGAAGAATGAGCTTGGATTGATCATTAGTATGTGTGGAGCAGGAGGTACGTGATCTGCCTCAAAAGCGGCTAGGGTGAAAATGATCCATAGAAGCATCACAACCATGCATATCAAAGCTCATGGTAGATGGCTGCCTTGATAGCCCTAACGACCCAAACCAAAATATAGTTGCTGTCTAGTTGACTCTGACTCATGGCAACCCCATGCGTGCAAAGTAGAACTATGCTCCACAGAATTTTTAATGGCTGATTTTTCAGAAGTAGATCACCAGGCCTTTCTTCCGAGACACCTCTGGGTGGACTCAAACCTCTGGCCTTTTGGTTAGCAACTGAGAATGTTAACCATTTACACCACCCAGGGACTCCAGATGATGACCCAACACCTCCAGAAAAGGTGATCAAGGAATCAAGGTCTGTTGTTGTTGCTGTTAGGTGCTGTCAAGTAAATTCTCCCTCATAGCAACCCTATGTACAACAGAACAAAACACTACCTGGTCCTGTGCCATCCTCACAATCATTGCTATGTTTGAGTCGTTTGTTGCAGCCACTGTGTTAATCCATCTTACTGAGGGACTTCCTCTTTTTGGCTGACCCTCTACTTTACCAAGCATGATGTCCTTCTCCAGGGACTGGTCCCTCCTGATAACATGTCCAAATTACGTGAGACGAAGTCTTGCCATCCTCGCTTCTAAGGGGCATTCTGGCTGTACTTCTTCCAAGATAGATTTGTTCGTTCTTCTGGCAG